CTCCACCTAACTCCAATCATCTCCCTAATAATCTTAAGTCATTACTCCAGAAACAACTTCCATCCAAGATTTCTCGACGTGACGCTACAATGCTGTGCCGGCTGTGGACTGGGGTAGCGTTTACTAAGTCATTCAGCCATCGCACTGGCATCGCGGATTCATCCATGTGTGAAAGCTGCAACTGTATAGAGACTATTGAACATCTCTTGTGCCACTGTGCCCAATTTGATGAAGATCGCCGGACTCTCCAGTGTGCCTTGAATAGACTCGATGACCGCCATTTAATGAAGCTAAGATCTTAGGAGCCTGGTCGCGCAGCACATCAGCACAGAAAGCAACATGAGCCCTCCTGAGATACTTGACAGCAACTTCATTGAGGGACCGCCTGTGAAACTCGGCATTGTGTGTGTGATGTGACATGTGTGTATATCCTTCTCTCTCTCTTTTATTCCCCTCTCCCCCTCCCCATGTGTAGGGCAGCAAACTGGACGCATAGTCTCGTTAACCTCCCTACCTTTCCTACATTCCTTCTCTCTCTCTCTGCACAATGCCTGGGTGTGCACTCAGTACAAAGTCTATTTCGTTCTTATGTTCGCCATTAGGGCTCCTCCATGTCCACATACGGTTCCCTCGTTTTTGGTAGAAGGTATTCAAAATCCGTAAATTATTGCGTTCTGCGAATTCTACTAGTAGCTTCCCTCTGGCATTTCGAGTACCGATGCCATAATCTCCTACTGTCTGGTCTCCAGCCTGCTTCTTCTTTACCTTTGCGAAAGGTCTCCCACCATTATAGTGTGCTCTGTTTTTACCTTATTCTCTGCCGCTTCCACGTCTTCATAGAAGCTTTCAACTGAGGCGTCATTATGGCTGTATGGAGGCGTGTAAGCCTGTACCACCTTCATCTTGTATGTGTTATTGAGTTTAATTACAATACCTACCACCCTTTTATTAATGCTATGGTGTTCCTCTATGTTGCCAGTTATGTTTCTGTGGATAAGGAACCCACTCCCACTTCTCTTCTGTCAGCCAAGCCCCGATAGCAAAGGACGTGCCCATTCTGTAGCACTGTGTATGCCTCATTTGTACTCCTATAGCCACACTGAGCCCTATTACATCCCATTTAACAACCTCTAGGTTCTCGAATAGTACAGCTAGTTTTGTCTTACTCGGTAAGGTTCTAGCGTTAAACGTTACCAAGCTCAAGTTCCAATGGTGGCCTGTCTGGATCCAGATTTTCTTAGCACCCTCTGCTGCGTTGCAGATCTTACCACCGCCGGGGTCAGTTGCTTCGGAGCCACTGGGGACTGAGTGTTGTGAGTTAATTGGCGTATGCATGTGGGAGGTAGTGGCCAGATACTGCACCAGGGTGGCCAATCCTTCTCTGGTGATGGAGTGCGTTACCGGCGGTGGTAGCCGGTAAGGCCGCACCACAGGCCTCTTAACGCATTTCCATCACCACACAGATTTTTTTAAAATCTGGTTGGTAACTGCGCAGCACTGGTATTCGAACCACGGACCTCTTGCATGCGAGGCTGATGCTCTAAGCACTACGTCATTGCTGCCTTTTCGGATGTATGCACTAAGGGACATGGAAGGCAAAATAACTACCAATATAGATAGGATAGTTAAAATAGCGGATGAGTTTCACAGGGATCTGTGCAGTATCCGGGACCACCACGGCCCTAATATAAAAACTAGCAGTAAACCAGATGACACCCCACCAGTAACTATAGAAGAAGTCAGAAAAGCCTTGTAAAGCATGCAGAGAGGCAAATCTGCTGGTGAGGATCAGGTATTATCAGATCTGCCGAAAGATGGAGGACAGACTGTGTAAATTAAAAAAAACTAGCCACACTGTTTACGATGTGTCTCCTGACGGGAAGAGTACCGGAATCTTGGAAGAATGCTAACATCATCCTAGTGCATAAGAAAGGAGATGACTAGGACTTGAAAAATTACAGGCCGATCAGCTTGCTCTTCGTCGTATGCAAGCTATATACAAAGGTAATTTCTAACAGAATTAAGACAACATTAGAATTCAATACCAAAGGAACAAGCAGGATTTCGAACAGGCTACTCAACAATCGGCCACATTCATACTATCAATCAGGGAATAGAGAAATGCTCAGAATATAGCCAACCACTACACATAGCCTTCATAGATTACGGGAAGGCGTTTGAATCAGTAGAAATATCAGCAGTTATGGAGACACTGCGGAATGAGGGCCTTGACGAAGCATATATGAACATTCTGAAAGAGATCTGCAGGGGGTCAACTGCTACCATAGTGCTTCATAAAGAAAGCAATAGAATACCAATCAAGAAGGGTGCAATTGCAGAGAAATACAAAATCCCCAATGCTATTTACCGCGTGCTAATATTATGTTTTCAGAGGCCTAGAATGGAAAAGTTAGGAATAAGAGTTAATGGAGAGTACCTTGGTAACTTGCGCTTTGCCGATGACATTGCATTGCTGAGTAACTCAGGAGACGAATTGCTACTCATGATTACGGAGTTAGACAAGGAGACCACAAACGTAGGTCTTAAAATATTCTGATGAAAATGAAAGTAATGTACAACAACCTCGGAAGAGAGCAGAACTTTGAGATAAGTTATAGTGCACTTGAAGTTGTAGAAGACTATGTCTACTTAGGACAGGTAATAATCACGAGATTGAAGTAACTAGAAGAATAAGAATGGGGTGGAGCACATTTGGCAGGCACTCTCAAAACATGACAGGTAGATTGCCACTATCCCTCAAGAAGAAGGTATATAACAGTTGCATTTTGCCGGTGTTTAGCTACGGAGCAGAAACCTGGAGACTTACAAAGAGAGTTCAGCTTAAATTGAGGGCGACGCAGCGAGCAATGGAAAGGAAAATGGTAGGTGTAACCTTAAGAAACAAGACCAGAGCAGAGTGGATTAGGGAACAAACCACGGTTAAAATGATTGATTGATTTGTGGGGTTGAACGTCCCAAAACCACCATATGATTATGAGAGACGCCGTAGTGGAGGGCTCCAGAAATTTCGACCACCTGGGGTTCTTTAACGTGCGCCCAAATCTGAGCACACGGGCCTACAACATTTCCGCCTTTATCGGAAATTTTGCCGCCGCAGCCGGGATTTGATCCCGCGACCTTAGCCACTAGACCACCGCGGCGGGGCGGGTTAAGAATAATGCTACGTAGCTATTGCATGAAGGGTGAACCATTATGTGGACAGAATACGACGAAGAAGTCTGGTTTGCTCGCTGTGTGTGCTGCGCTCCGATTTGTAGGTGTAAATACACTGGCAAATAGTCACGCCCCGTCTCATTTTACGTAACAATAGCATAGTTGAAATCAAGAAGAGGAAATGGACATGGGCCGGGCATGTAGCGCGTAGGCAGGATAGCCGGTGGTCATGAAGTGTAACCGATTGGATTCCCAGAAAACGTAGTCAGGCTGATGATGATGAATGTACTGGTAAGTTCAATTATCGTGTATAAAACGCAAAATTAATTTTCACTTGTGGAATACTTTCGGCTAAAATGGCTGAAATTTTGTGCGGTTACCGTTTTCAGCACAAGTGTTGTGTGCCAACCCTTCTATTTCTGTGGTGACAGGCGGAAGCCCAGCTGCCATGAATGCCGTTTGTAAACAGCGAAATAGCATGTATGTGCGCGCGTGTGTGAGGGGGTAGGCATGGCTCGGGGCGAATGTTAGTTTGGGCGCGTCATGCTGAATACGTCCAACTGTAGCATTCGAACCGTATTTATTCATATTTACGGAGGCGTTGTTTTTAGCGAATTACAGAAAAAAATATCTTTCGGCTTAGATTCGACGATTCCATTCGGATGCGCCAGAACTAGAATGTATAGCATGACGCTACCGCGAACACCAAAGATAGCACTGTATAGCCGTTAATGTCCGCTACCTCAGCCACATTCACTGTTAGGGTACACCATTTTCAATTCGTTAGATGCGCTCAGTGAGGGCATAGTCATTTACTTTATTTCTTACATTTTACGTGGGTTCGCTTTCGCCAAGACGCCGAATTTTACGGGCGTCAATACAATGGTACCAGCTGTGAGCTTGGGTAAATGCGTATAGTGCCTCAGCAAGTACGGGCTAAGTGCGCTGGGCATTGGTAGTAAATGTCATTCACGGCATTTGGGCTGGCTTAATTTACTGCCGTTTTTTTATTGGCTCTCACTCTAGGAAAAGCTCTTGCCTGTCCTTCCGAATCCGTCGAATGGGCTTAGAATCAAAGCCGACCTATGTCCCATAGTTTAGGCACTTTAAATTTCAAGTAATTATTCTATAGCTTTACGTACTTTTAGGTTTGTGTATACCCGCTAGTGAGCTTGCAAAGGCTGTCTACATAAAAATAGTTTTACCTCCTAAAGTGTGTGATGAAATATATTGGGGTTCAACTTGGCTTATACTACGAGGCAGCGAAGGATTCTCCACTTCTGGTCTGTAAAGAGACAGCCGGCGCAGTGTGGCTGCACGAGATGGTGCTAGGCGGATATGGCAAATACAGAGCAGTGCGCCTCGTGGAGTATTTGCAGATCCCGCGAATAAGTCTGAAAAGTCGTTGTCCAAGGCACGTTTGGCAGCTTACTTGAAAGTCATCATTGAAAGAAAACTGTTGTCTTAGAGATACCTTGAACGTTCTGCAGGGTTTACTTTTTGTGCTTCTGTCAACTGTTCGTTGCTTAAGTTATTGGTGATTGATATTGAGCCTCATAACCTGGTAGTATGGCTAGAACAAAACCATTCTTCTACTCATCGCTTGATTTGTACGTAGGGCAGTGGTTTGTTCGAGCAAGAAAGTTTCCCGAATGTTCTCTTCGGACGATGAGGTGAGCTGAAAGGTGCGGCAACAATAGGCGAGTTTGTCGGGAAACATAAAGGATAGCGGTAGGTTATAAATGTATCTTTATTTTATATTTGAATCATCACTATTGCGATATTTTACTTTATGTTAGACTGAGATAGGCTTCATTCTTTTTTTTCTTTTTTTTTGCGTACATTCTTGGTAGTCACGCCCACTCTCCAAAACGGCGGGTTGATGGTTGAATCGCACTGCTTCGATACATGCCATGTGCGTACCAATGGCCTCTAGATGCACAACAGGGGCTCGCAGTGAAGACGGGTGTGCGCTTAGACAATGCCGGGTGCAAACATTAAGGACGAATGTCCCGGATCAGCTTACACATGAAAAAACCAGCACTGCTGCGCCTTTAGATCGCCAATAACAACAGTCGACTAATGAGCGTATAAATAGAGATTCGCAGTAAAATAGCAGTATACACCAACCACTGCACTTATATGTAATGTTACAGTATGCAATCCGCAACTCATTGAAATTAGGGCCACACAGCGAGGGAGGAAATAAAAAAGATGAAAGTTCTGTCTTTCTCCATGATTATCTTTTGACGTTTCTAATTCGTGGTTAGGGGTTTTGATTTCTTTTGTCGCGTGACAACAACACAAGGGGTTGATGAACAGAAGCGCGTTTTCCTATAACCGTCTTCTGAAACCGAAGCGTAGTTCGTCCGTTACCGTGACTGCACCAAATCCTTCCTTGTCTGCTGGCACATCGCAGACTCTAGAAGCACATGGATGTGGCACACTCTGAAGACTTTTCTTTTTATTGTGTGGCAAGCACCAATGAGCCACGCGTGGGCCGACAGTCTCTACATGGCGGGTGGATAGGGAACGCCCCTGGCGTTCTCCTGTCGGATGTCTCGCTTGAGGGCGTCCATAACGCTCTTGCTGCGGGGAAGCAATGTGGCAGGGAACATAGGACTGCTGATGGCCGTCTGTACAATTGTAAGGAGCTGGCGGGCCAGGTCGCGGTGGATGATTTCGCGGTTGAATCTCAACACATCTTCGACTCCGGCGATGACGTTGTGAAGAGCGCGTGGCGGCAGCGGCAGCATCACTTTGGGCAAGTTCCGCATGCTGCCCTCATCCATGCGCACGATTTCGTCTCGGTTTGCCGTCCTGAGGTACTGCAAGAACTGCGTGATGGAGCGCTCCTCGGTCGTAGTGTGCACCTTGCGGATTACCGTCCACATCTCCTTGCGAAGTTGCTTGTCGATCTTGACAAGAATCTCGAGCGGGATGTACTGCTGGAGATCAAGCCGCCGCAACAGGTCGGCGATCCGCACGCGCAGCTCTCGAGTCACTTTGCGCAGAGCGAACTTGTTGTCCACGAAGGCAGCCACAGCCTTGATAAAGTGGCTCTCTACGCTCGCCGTGCCCGTAGGCAAGGCTCCGCCGCGCAGCACCGAGTCCAGCATCTCCAGTAATGTCTGCACGTTCACATGGCTCTCGGACTTTTGCGTCACCTTCGTGGCAAGCACAAAGAGAATGTCGTTGACGAGCACGAGCTTGAGTGGCTGCGGGATAATGTCGTCACGCGCGGGAACCCGATCGATGACGTCGACGAGACGTTTTTCAGTGCCGTCAGTATAGTTGTAGAGTCGGAGCAGGCGCATGGCCACAGCGGCCACGCTGCCCACCACTCCAGGCTCTCGGCTTTTGGATGCCGTGAGTGCATCCCGCACCAGGCCAACTACCGTCTGAAGGTCGCTCGGCGTCCAGCTGGGGAAGTCTTCAAATATGCCGCGCAAAAGTTCCGCTGGTGCAGGTCCTGGCAGTGTCCTGAGATACTTCTTGAGGTTTCGCAGGGCGCTTAGAGGTTCACTCTGAAGCCTGCGTAGTACCTCATTTATGTATTTGATCACCGGCTTCAACTCGGGAGTGCCTTTGGTCAATGGTGACAGGCGGTTTCTGAAGCGCGTCAGAAGGTCGGCAACTTCTTTAGTGGGCAAAGCACTCGTCCCAGCTCTCTCATCCAACACTTTGACAAGCTTGTTGCTGAGGTCGGCTTGCTCAGAGGCGTCACCATGTCTCAATAGCGCCGAGATAATGTCCGTAACTATTTCCACCGCATAGTCCTGGCTTGGCGCGAACTTAATTAGTGTATGGAGGATTTGTTTCGGAATATGTCGAGCCCTATTTATCAAGTGGTGCAATAGTGATGGAAGAATAGCAGTTTGTATTGGTGGGAGAGATCGTATTATTGGTCTTGTTATTGCTGTTGGAGTGTTTTGAAGGAGCAGTAAGCTATTACTTGGCCACAACGAGGGAACCATTGTAACTGCGGCGTGAATGGCGCGAAGTAGTTGCTGAGCGAGAGTCACAGTCATCTGGTCAGTCGTGAGCAGACGCATGGCTACTACAAGCAGATTACCTCGAACGGTAGGATCGAGAGCGGGTGACACAAGGTCAAACGACAGCTCTTTCGTTAGGTGGGTGATCTTATAATCGCGGTCCTCGACTTCTTTTGCAATGTTGTCAACCAAATCGGGTGGCATTTGATACGTCGGCCAGTGGACATACGACAGTGGTGTCATGCCACTTTTTGGAATATCTGGCAGCTGCACAGGAGTCTTCTTAAGTAGGCTGGCAATAATGTATTGTATAGAGCGTGGATACTTCGACTCCTCTGAAGTATGGGAGTTCAGCTTTTCAGCGATAGTGTGCAGGTGCACCGTCGAAGAAGGGTTGCTCGAGGCAGTGGACCCTATAGCAAGCAGAATTTGCTTTACTGCCGTTAGGCCTTCCACAGGGCCAGTGGGTTTCACGCTGTCCACATCTCTGCGCAAGGTTTCAAACGTCCGTCCCGGATGATAGTTGGGCGGCTTGAAACTAAGCAGACGTGTAACAAGATAATCATCGACACGTCCGCTCAACAAAGAAATCAGAGTTGTTAGCACTGTCGAGCGCGCAGTAGGTGACAAATATTGGAAGCCGTCATTGCCATACAAAACGAGAGAGTCTGTAAGAGCGACCATTCTCAGGTGGGGCGCGATAAGGTCTCTTCGATGAACAATTTTGTTGAGGCTAGTAAGCAGCGGCCCTATTTGTAGTCTTGGAACGTTGTTCGTGCTTATCAACCTGAGGAGCAAGGAAACTACGTTTCCCACTACCACCGGGTTCCCGCCGGATTCCCTTACGACAGATGCTAACAGTTGTATTGTGGCTGGAGAGCCTGGCGCAGTTCCACGTGTATTCGGTTGTATCGAGAGTAAAAGCGTGTATGGCAAGGGAGCCTTTGGATTTCGCAGGTACTCTTTAATTGCACTGAAGTCTGTGTGCGGTGCGGGTAATTCTTTCACGAGCACCTCAAGTATAGCTATCAGGCGTTGTTTTTGGTTTTCTGGCACTTTGGGGTTTCTTGTAAGTTCTTCTAATATTTCGATCAAGAAATGCCTCAAGTCGCCGTCAATGTTACTCCTGTTGGTTGTCTGCACGTACTGAACCAACAAATGAATGAACTCCTTCGTTGTGAGCGTAGAGATATGGTGCACTGCTAGGTACGGCAGCAGAATCTCTAACACTCTGTGGACTTCTTCCCTAGGCCCGTAGTACGTTCTGTTGACGAGGCTTGAAATTATATTTTCTCGAAGTCTAGCTGTCATCTCCAAAGTGAGGATACTTCTTAGGATGGTCAGATTAATTTTTACTCCAGTTTTAATAATCCTATAAAGTTCTAACACCAAAAGCTCGGTTCTGTCGGTATATAATCCTTGAAGTTGCTCAGCAGTCAGAGCTTTTACAATTATTTGTATCAGTCTCTCATCCACTGCTCGTTCAATGTCAGGGTGACCAATGGTAATGTTATGTGCCCCTTCAATTATAGTTGTGATGTTAGTTGGAGGCGGAATATTGAAGATGCTCTCTATGATTGATAGAATGTTGCCGGTAGACTCATTCGTGTGGGTTATGTGATGCGATATTTTTTCTATGTTGAACTTGACCGTTGCACTTTCTGGAGATGATGGAACCGTGAATACGTTAACACTTGGTGTCGGAGTAGGCAAAGTGACGACCGTAGTTCCCATCGAAAGAATGTTGTCCGTCGTAACGACAGTGCTGCGGAAGCCAGTTGGCGTGACTGTATCGTTCTCCCTGTTGTCCGGCTGTGGTGGCGCTGTAGTGCGCTGCGACTTCGTCACGCTGGTCGAAGTCTCTGTTGCTGGCGTGAATGTTTCTAGACTCGGTGTAGTGGCAGTCTCGAATGAATAACTGCCCGTTGTGGTCTCTGTCGATGATGTGGTCTCTTCCCATGGAGTTTCTGAAGGTGTTTCGGTAGACGCCTTGATAACTGTTGTTGTAGTCGTCTCAGTGGAAGGTGTACCAACAGGCGTTTCCGTTGTGGTGCCAGATGTGGTCACCGTAAAGCTTGGTGTTGTGGTAGATCCCGTTGAAAAAGTAGTTTCTGTCGAATACATTTCGGAGGGAGTTTCAGTCGATATTGAAGTTGTAGTTCCTGTCGAATAACTCTCAGAGGCAGTTTCCGTCGAAGTCGTTGTCATTGTCGAATAACTTTGGGAGGGTGTCTCTGTAGTTGTGGACGTTCTTGCTTCTGTCGAATAACTCTCTGATGGTGTCGCGGTTGATGTCGAAAAGCTTTCAGACGGAGTCTCTGTTGATGTCGAGGTTGTCGTGATGGAATAACTTTCTGAGGGTACTTCTGTTGTCGATGTCGTGGTTACTATTGAATAACTTTCTGCAGGAGTTTCTGTCAACATAGATGTCGTTACAGTCGAAAACGTCTCCGACGGTGCCTCGTTTGAAGTCGAGTAACTTTCCGATGGAGTCTCATATGAAGTTGTAGTGCTTGTCCAGTAACTTTCGGAAGGAGTCTCTTGTGAAGTTGTAGTGCCTGTCGAGTAACCTTCGGAGGGAGTTTCCCTTGATGTCCATGCTGTTGTATATTCTGTAGTAGTCGTGGTTGAATAGTAAACTGAAGGTGTTTCGGTGGCCGTTGAAGTCGTACTAGATTCCCAAGGTGTCTCTTCTGAAGGAGTTGCTGTTACACCTTCAGTTGTAAATGCAGTTGATGTTGCCCATGTTGAAGGAGACCCCGCAAGAGTCTCAGTAGTAGTTTCGGTCGACGTGGTTGTCTCAAGAGAAGGAGTAGCCGTCGGACTCTCAAATGAAGCTGTCGTATATTCCGTTGAAGTCGTGGTTTCATAAGAAGGTGTTCCTGAGGATTGTGCAAATGTTGTGTGTGTTGACTGTGTAGCCGAGGGTGTTTCCTCCGCGGAAGTTGTAGTAAAAGCCGCCGGAGTCGTCGTTTCCATCCATTCACTCGCTGAAGGTGTTGTAGAAAATAATGAGCCAGAGGTCGTAGTCTCGCTTGAAGGTGTCATAGTCGGAGTCTCGCTGAACAGCTCGGTTGTCGTTGGAAGTGTTGAGAATTCTGTAGCAGCGGTTGTTTCGATTGAGGTAGAGAATTCTGGAGTTTCAGTTGTCATAGTTGATCCTGTCGAAGGTGTTTGTGACATTATGTTTTCAGTGGTAACAGCCATTGTTTCTAAATCTGGTATGGTGGATGTAGTCTCCGAAAATGGAGTTTGAGTAAGAGTCTCTGTTGTGCCAGGAGTAGTCGTAGAAATTGTATTTGAAGCCGTAGTTGACGTCTCAATAGATGTTGGTGTTGCCGTGCTGGAAGGAGTTTCTGTAAATGTGGCTGGCGTAGTTTCGACTACGGATGTAGTATATTCTGTCTCCGTTCCTGTTTCATATGTGTATATACCGTTGGAAGGTGTCACTGTAGTTCCTCTTGATGTTGTTGGTGCAAACCAAGGTGTTGTCGACTCTTCTGGAGATGTCCCCGTAGTTGTTTTTACTTCTGTGGCTGTATATTCCGTCGTCGTAGTTGTGCTGTACGCTGTTGTCTCTCTAGAGGTCAGTTCTTGTCCTGGCGTGTATATTTCTTCTATGCCAGTCGACGGTGTTTCCGTAAAAGTTACTTGTGGCGTAGTTACTACCGACAGTTCCGTCGTACTGGTTGTTTTATGCCATGTTTGCGGATGGCAAGGGCCCTCTGTCACTGGTGGTATGATTATGGCGCTCCAGTCTATCTTGAACCATCTCGGAATCTTCAGCAGGTACATTATTAGGCATTCAATGTAAGATATTGCTTTACTGCTGACAGTTGGAGTTTCAAGCATGCGAAACAAAACACTGACAAGGTTTAGCTTCTCGCATGGACTGGCAACCACGGTTTCAATGGCCACAAGGATACTGTTGTCCATCTTATCAAGTTGCTCGATCAGTCGCAACAGCGTCAAATATAGGTACGACTTTCGCTTCGGTGAAAGCCATTCATAGTACGGTCTTGTGTGAATACGAAGTAACGCTGGTATCATTTTGCGGGCCATCTGTCTACTTATGCTGCCGAACTGAAGGAGCGATGCGCTATCAATGAGGAGGTCAAGAACTTTACCAGGTGGCCAACTAATTGTAAGCAGAGCCGTGGCAACACCGAGCAAAGCAACCCGACGTTCTGCGGGGATTTGACGTGCCATCTTTGCGTAAATGCTTAGCTCCGTCACGAGGTAGGCGCGAACACTCGGAGATTCAAAAAGGACGCTCTTTTCAAAATCTTCTAGTAGCTGAGGAACGAGGTAGTCGTGTGCATTGATTAGGTCCCGAATGCTGACCTTAGAGCAGTTCTTCTGACGCTGAAAGGAGGTGAGCAGATGGCTAAACACGCGGTTGTTTTCTGGACTGACTTCTCTGCGGCGCTGGAGCTCGATGATGATGCTGCGAAGAAGTGACACGGTGCTGCCCGGCGGCTGGCAGTTGCTGGCCACATCTATGCCTATCTTGAGCAGCAACTCGAGAGACAGCGAGGACAGACTGGAGTTCTTCATCGATTCGCGCACAAATCGTAGCATGTCGTTATATGCGCGCTCCTTCTCGAGAGTGCGCGCCCGCGAGTAGTCGGCTGCTTCGGACTCCTGTAGGCCCAGCGACTTCGGGTAGCCGTGGTCGAAGAGAGATGGCGCCTGCCACACAAGCTGACCGGAAGACACCTCGTCAGGCAGAGGCACCAACATAGAGCCGGCGCACGAGCGTGACCGCGCAAAGTGGCTCAGGATGGCGAGTGCATGACGGGCCGACGTGACCGGCAGTCGGTCGAGTTCCGAGTCCCCAGGTGGAGCGTGGCGGCAGTCGAACGCGTGCTCAGCCAACAATCGAGCCACATCACGGGCTTCGGCTGAGCTGCGGCCGTCTTCGAACAGGGCCTCGTAGCGGCGCACCACAGTGTCAGGCATGCTGGCGCGGCCCAAAAGCGCACGGCCCGCGGCTCTGAAGCGCCGAGTCACGTACTCTGGAAGTCCTTGCGCTGGTGCCGACCACAGTAGCCGCAGCATTTGGGCCTTAGCTGGCCCGTCCGCGGGGGTAGCTCTCTCTGCGAGCTGGGCGATGCGTCCAAGGTCTGCGCCCAACTGCTGAGCCGGCCACCGGGGCAGCTCGGACAGCAGGCACTCAAACAGGTCCTTGCGCATGGCCACCCCGGGAACGGCCATGTGCCTCTGCAGGTACGGCCGTAACGACCGGGCATCGGGACCCAGGGCACGCACCAAGCTCTCGCACACTCCAGGACCGCCTGCGCAGCACAGCACAGATTTTTGAGCAGCACAGACACTTTGTTATCTTGTGTCTTTTTTCGTCTTTAATCGTGTTTAACAGGTGTGTACGGTTGAACTCTGTTATGTTCACTATGAGGAAATAAAAGCAGTTTCGAGAGCAAAAAAAAAAGGACTATAATAAGATTGTAGCAGAACACCGCTGAAAACGAGAAGAGCACACACCTAAAACACGGAGCTGGCTGTTGACCTAAGAACTCTTGCGTGCTTTAATAAGGCGTCATATTTTAATGTGTGCTTTGACAGTACGGTTAAAACAAAAACGTGGTAGCACACGTGATCACAGCTCATTCATTTCCTCATGAAGACGGAAGTGTTTTGATGATTGATTACTTTGTGGGGTTTTAACGTTCCAAAACAACCATATTATTATGAGAGACGGCGTTGTAGAGGGCTCCAGAAATTTCGACCATTTGGGATTTTTTTTAACATTCACCCAAATCTGAGCACACGGGCCTACATCGTTTTCGCCTATATGGAAAATGCAGCCGCCGCAGCCGGGATTTGATCCCATGACCTGCGAGTCAGCAGCCGAGTAGCTTAGCCACTATAAACCACCCCGGTGGAGCGAAGACGGAAGTGAAACAGGAACCGACAGAACAACAATAACAGCGAAAAAATCGCAGCGTATACCCACGCAGTGAATGATGACGAGTGGGGTGAAGCGTCCATCAATCCGTCAATCCGTCCGTCCGTCCGTCCGTCCGTCCGTCCGTCCGTCCGTCCGCCTGCCTGTCTGTCTGCCTGCCTGCCTGTCTGTCTGTCTGTCTGTCTGTCTGTCTGTCTGTCTGTCTGTCTGTCTGTCTGTCTGTCTGTCTGTCTGTCTGGCTGGCTGGCTGGCTGGCTGGCTGGCTGGCTGGCTGGCTGGCTGTCTGTCTGTCTGTCTATATGCTGTACGTATGTCTTACATAACCAGTTCTTATATATTAGTCACATATATGTTATATAACCAGTTGTATAACCACAAAACCAGGTTGATTGGCAGAACATGGGAGAGGCCTTTGTCAAGCTGATGATGATGATGATGACGGTGATGATTTGGAACGTTAAACCCCACATATCATATCAATCTGAAACTAGATTGCATTGACGGAAGGAGCCCGCCATGTCCTTGATTTTCAGGAAACCGCGCCCCAACACCAACGAAGAGGACCTATATGCACGTCGATAGTTGATTGCCACGTATAGAATGTTGGGTTCGATTCATGATGGGTTACTGATACTTATTCGTTGCATTAGTCGGGTCAACAGTGCTGACGTCAGTTTTTCCTAATGTTCTTAAATTACCACTTTCTGTTCATATAGCTAGTTCAGCCCAACGTTACCCGTCTAAAAACTTTTGTTCAGCTCCAAGTCAGCCATTGACTTAATGGGAGGGAGCCACTGCGGCGAACTTTCGCCCCATCTGAAGGGGAACCCTGCACACACTTTCATGTACTCTTCATACCAACCGAACATGGCTGCGTTACAAGAAACGGCTAATATTACATACCTGCCAAGTCTCCCGGATTTTAGCGAGACTCCCAGATCGCGACCATCAACTTACGTTTGTACAGCTGGCAGGAAAATCTGGCTGGAATTGAAATCTCTGTGCGTGACCTGGCCGCATTGACAAAAATGCTGGCCAATCATGATTCAGCCTTTTCGTGAACCAATCCGTATTATGATTTCAAAGAAATTCAGGAGTCATTCGTGTAAACGTAAGTAGAATCTCGGTGATGCGAAACCGCGGCCGATACGGTTTCTTGAAATTCCCCAGCCGAGTGCCATTGTGACCATTGGGCCGAAATTTGAATGTTTCGAACACTTTTCCTCACCGCGGCGGGTGATACGAGCTTTGGTACCGAAATCGTCGAGCGAAGACCAAGAGTATAGAGTCCTGGAGGCTTCGGAATTATGCGCGCGTCCAGCCAAAAAACCGTCACACTTGTGGTTATTGTTTCCTACCACCACTGAGGACGAAACCTTGGTAGCTGACATGATCATGTACGTCGACGACGAAACTGACAGAGCACCGAAAGTACACGCACGTCCAACGCTCGCCTACTGCCCACAGTGGCGCTGCTCTCTGCAAACGCTGCTCCCGAAACCGCGGTGAAGGCGATCATAGATCGCTACAAACGATATAGTTTTGGAGGCACATGCGCGGCCAGTGCACGCAGATTTATGATTCCCCACTGAGCACATTGACCACTGCGCCACGCCGACACACGCAGATTGAAAATACAAATACCGTTCGCCGCAACAGCTGCACATAAAACCTAAACGAATGACTGATATGTGGGGTTTAACGTCCCAAAACCACCATATGATTATGAGAGACGCCGTAGTGGAGGGCTCCGGATATTTCGACCACCTGGGGTTCTTTAACGTTCGCCCGCCTACAGCATTTCCGCCTCCATCGAAAATGCCGCCGCCGCAGCCGAGATTCGATCCCGCGACCTGCGGGTCAGAAGCCGAGTACCCACTAGACCACCGGGGCGGGGCTATAAAACCTAAACGAAACCGTGGTCGCTGCGACGCGATCATCAGTAGCGACCATATATATATATATATATATATATATATATATATATATATATATATATATATATATATATTGTCACGTTAAAGAGACAGGAGACGTTTTTTAAGGCGTCCTCACAAAAGTCCGAAGAGCGGTCGGCTCAGCGCAGCCAAAAACAGAACAATGGCACGAGGGGAACTGCCACTTCGTCTGCCTCTTTTGCGCTGGCAGATCAAGCGCGCGGCACTGCCCCTCCTCCCTGAAGAGCATCGCCTCGATGCTAAACGAAGCGTGTATCGTAAAAAAAAAACATTGTCACAGTGTGTGGTACGGTTTTAACCGCACCACGTGCACAATCTCGGGTCGTAGCTGTCGGCGTCGGGGTGGTTGGCTTCCGTCCGGAAGGACTTCGTAATTGACGTCGCTCACTTGTCGTAGCACTTTGTACGGGCCAAAATACCGACTGAGAAGCTTCTCAGAGAGACCTTTGCAGCGCACAGGGGTCCAAACCAACACCTGGTCACCTGGTTTATAATCGACTTGTCTGTGGCAGCGGTTGTAGCGCTGTGCATCGACGCCTTGTTGTTTCTTGATGTTTACGCGGGCTAGTTGACGTGCTTCCTCGGCTCGTTGCACGAAACACTCAGCATCTTCGTCGAGATTCTCGATGTTGTCAATGTCGCATGGGAGCATTGCGTCCAACATCGTCTGAACGTCCCGACCGTATAGAAGACGAAACGGAGTGAATCGTGTGGTCTCTTGCGTAGCGGTATTATACGCGAATGTTACGTAAGGCAGTATTTCATCCCACGTCTTGTGCTGTACGTCTATGTACATAGACAGCATATCAGTCATCGTTTTGTTAAGCCGCTCGGTCAGTCCATTTGTCTGAGGGTGATACGCTGTTGTCTTGCGATGCGTGGAGTAACTTAACTGAAAAACTTGTTCAAGGAGCCTTGCTGTAAACGCTGTTCCTCGGTCTGTGATGACACAGGATGGAGCACCGTGGCGTAATACAATTCTCTCGATGAAAAACTGAGCAACTTCACAAGCCGTGCTTTTAGGAAGCGCCTTAGTTTCAGCATAGCGGGTTAGATAATCTGTAGCGACGATTATCCACTTGTTGCCGGAAGATGACAAGGGAAACGGACCCAGGAGGTCCATGCCGACTTGATCGAAGGGTGTTCTGGGTGGCTCGATAGGGTGAAGTAATCCCGCAGGCTTAACAGATGGGGATTTTCGGCGCTGGCATTCGCGGCAGGCTTGAACGTACTGTTTAACGCAA